AAAACAAGCTTAGCAAAGCACAGGGACCGCGGTTCAATCCCCCAGCACCACATGCCAGCCAGCCCCGCCCCCTGGTGGGCTGAGCGGGCCACACACACACACACACACACACACACAAATAAATTAAATTAAAAAAAAAAAAGTCACACATTTATCAGTAGCAACACGTACCTCAAAAGGAAAAAAAAACACTATAAACAGTAATCTAAATGCTCTAGGGCAAAGAAGCATTGTAAGACATTATCTAAGCAAAGAAACCTACCTTGGAAGTCCCGGCCTTGTTCTCTCTGAATGAGCCTGGTGGGCCCCAAGGGTGTTCAAGAACGCAGAGGCTGCTGAAATTCATCCACTTTTAAATGCCCGAAATTCCATTTTGCTCCATGTACCTTCTCTAGATATAGTAGCCCTTCCACACTTTAGTGAAAATTAGCTTGTTACATTACTTTCTTAAAGCAGGGGCTCAGCACACAGCCTTGAGCATCAGTGTGAGATGGCAACGTATGAGCAGGGATGCAAAAGGAGAAAGGTGACCGCAGACTCCCTCCATCTCTAAGGCTCTGAAGTGCTACAGGCCCTTCTCAGGGCCCTGAGGGGGCAAGGACCCCACTTGTATCAACTCTACAAGGTCTGTCTCACACTAAGCAGAAATCAGCAGGCATATTTCACATTTAAGCTGCTTTTAATGCTCAAAAGCTCTATACAAAAAAAAAAAAAAATCATGAATGATTCCTCACAACACCCCTGTGAGGTAGGTAGGCAAGTATTATTCTCCCATTTTACAGATGGGAAAACTGAGGCAAAGTGGTGAAGTGATTGGCCAGTGGTCCCTGCACAGCTGGAAATCAGGGCCAAGCATGAGAATACAAAGGATCCCTCCTAGTTCAGCCCTGATCTGAGTCCCCAGCTAGACCTCCTCTGCAAAGAAACTAAAACCTCTGAATACACGGACAAATGCAAATGAACCTGAAATGGTAGGGAGAGATTATACAGTAGTTTTGCAGAAGAATTCAGCTAAAAGGGACGCTATTTTCCAACACTGGGTAGATGTGAACTTGGGCCTCTTCTCCCCCTTTCAAATTTCATGATCAATATAATCTTGCTGTTGTCTTGTTTTGGGTTTTTGAAACTGCATCTTACTATACAGTTCAAGCTGGCCTGGACTCACTATGTAGCCCAGGCTGGCCTCAAATTCTCAGTGATCCTCCTGACTCCACCTCCAGAGTGCTGGGATTACAGATGTGCACCACCACAGCCCGCCACCTCCTCCTGTCTTTCTGCACAAATTCATGAGCCCAACTGGAAAGGTTTCCCTGACCCCAGGAGTCAGGTAGGCAGATGGAATCCTCACTGCCCAACCCTTGGGTTTCAGCAAACACCAGCCCTGGCCCGAAGAGTGGCTGCAAGATGGCCAGAGATGATGGCAGGACCCACAACTCAGTGGAGCTGACCTTTATGCCCCCCCCCCAGGGAGACAGCTGAACCTCCTCGGATCCTCCGCAGGGCTGACCTGGAACCCAGGGGCCCCCTACAACACCCTTGCCCAATCTCTCACATCCTCCCACTCACAAACACCACCCCAACTACCAACCTTGACTCAGCCATGTTTTGGGGCCTGCTATGGGGGTGGGGGAACTGAGGAGGGAAGATGGGCTGCCTGGTACCTTGGCCCAGGCTCCAGGGCAATTCGAGCTCACCCTCCTTAGGCTGTGTCAGCTTCCAAAAGGCCTTTCTAAATCCCCCAAAGGGCCCCCTGATGTTTCTAGCTCCCCAGAGACCTCACCAGCCAGGGGAAGGGGTCAGGGCACCAGAAGGGGAGGCCAAGGCCAGCCCCTGGCCATGGAAGTTGTCCTTGCAGTCTCCCTAGCTGAAGACAGGGCTGAGAGGCAGTGGGCAAAGCTGCCTTTAAGGTAATAGATCCCCCACCCTCTCAGGTAGCCAGGGTCCCCCTGGGCAGTGCTCAAGAAGCAAAAGGGGAAGGGAACCGGGGTAGCCAGAGGAAGCGAGGGAAGGAAATCGACACTGGCAGGGCCTTCAGAACCTCAGAGAGAGGGAGAAGAGGACAGAGATGGCGGTCAGCTGCTTGGCAGTTTGGGGTGTGCGCTTGCCAGAGGCCGAACACCAGGTGCCTCAAGGAGCCACACCAGGCCCCTTGGCAGTGTCCTTGCACCTCTGAGTGGCTGTGCTGACTGCTGGTCCTGGATGAAGCTCATTCTAAAATGCTCCCTGCCCAATCCACCCAGCCCAGGAAGCTGGGGGTTGCTTCTGTAAGGCCAGTTCCCAGGGCCCAGTCCTGGCTACGAGGACCTGGGGGCGCGGGAGGAAGCCCCTACAGGAAGTCCCTGCCGGCCAAGGACCCAGGCCCGAGGCTCTGCTCCTGCCACCGGTGTCGCAGCCTGGAGAAGGGCTGGTCCTCTGTGCTCTCCAGCTCGGGGAAGCCCAGTTGGTTGAGGGTCTCATAGACACCGGCCTTGGATGCCACCTGGGGTGGGGACAGAAAGGGGGAGTGCCTCAGCAGAGGGAGGGTATCTGCTGGGCTCCCCGTCTGCTGTGGTCACCTCACTGGACTTGGATGTACGCAGAGGAGTCTGGGGCCAGAGCACCCCTCACCTGCTCAGCAACTCAGCAAATCTAAAGGCTCATCTGTTAACTCCCCGAGCCTGTTTCCTTATGAAAGCAGCACAGCCGCCACCCACAGGACCACGTGGAGGGGGCTGCGCATGCGCCAGGAGCAGCCTAGATGGCCAGGTCCACACAAGGGTCATCAGAATGCCCAAGGGGACCCGGGAGGACTGGCCTGCCTGCCTAGAGCAACAGAGCTGGGCCCAAAGGAGGCTGGAGGGCGGGGCGGACTCAGGGCCAAGCAGAAGTCCCAGGTCAGGGGCTTCTAAGCGGCAAGACACCAGCATATGAAGTCCAGCACAAAGCCCCAGAATCAAACCGCAGCCTGAACTATTGCCCCAGATCACAGGCGTGTGCCACAATGCCCAGCCCGTCTGCTCATCTACCAAGTGCAGGCATCAGGCTGAGGACCCACAGTTGAACAAAATGATCCCTCTCCATAGGAGCTCCTGTGACCGGGGTCCCAGCAGGGACACACAGGGATGGGGTGGGAGGCCCCCACCTACATCCTAGTGCCCATCACCCTCAGCCTCCGCCTCTCACCTCCCACATCCAGGTGCTGAAGGGCCTCTGCCAGGAGTGCGCCTCCTCCAGGTGGAGGTAGGCATTGAAGAGGATCAGGTAGATGTAGCGCTCCAGGTACTGCAGGCTCCGAAGCTGCAGCCTCTGCGCCTCCTGCTTGTCTTTGGCAGCCTTCGCCTGGAGGACAGAAGGGGGAGATCAGCATGGGGTCCTCACTACCTCACCCCACAGCATGGGGTCCTCACACACTCTTGAGTAAGGGCCTGCCCAGGTCACAGGCAAGATCACTAGGTCAGATAACCACTTCCCACTGCCCCGAAGCAGGCGCTTGGCTACTCTGGAGCTCCACTTCCTCACTGGAACTGTGGCTGCCGTCCTGTTCCCAAGGGGTAGCCACACAAGGCCAAGCTCTCCACAGGAAAGTTCCGTGGACCCTGAGTAGGGGGCCTTCAGGGGTCAGAACACATGCCAGCTCTAACTGCTAGGGAAGAGCCTTTGCCAACTCTTAACACCCTCTGAGGGGACATCTCTGTGGCCCCAGTTCTCTCAGGCCAGAGCCAAAGCAGGAAGCCTTGAGCTGCTCCCTGCCCCTGCAGCCTTCCTTGGGAGGGCTGGCCCATGTGAGCCCAGGGCTACTGTCTTGTGCAGCAGCAGCCTCCTCTGCCCTCTCCGCCTGACCTCACTGGGAGGGTTGTCTCATCCCTGACTAGGAAGGAGTAGGCCCCCTGTGCCTGCTATCCTTGCCCATTTTGCAGTCCAGATCAGAGCTGAAAAGAGGGAGCAGACAGCCCTGGACCTCCGCCCTCACCCTCTGCAAGGCTGGGGACAGGTAAACGAGTGAGAAAGGCCCCAGGGCCAAGGCGCAGCAAAGCAAAGCAGCCAGGCTGGGGGAGCCCAGGTGCCCGGCCAGGTGAGGGAATGTGGAACTCCGCTTTGCAACAAGCAACCCCACTCCATCTGTGAGAATGGTCCAGGCCACAGGCGGGGGAGGACCACAAAGCCCACTAGAAGCAGGTTTCCCAGAGTGTGTGGCTCAGGGGCCACGAAGGCCTGGGGAACCTGGACCACAGGAACGTGGGCTGGAGGTCAGGACAGTGCCCAAGATGTGTGGGCTGTGCCCAGCTGGCTAGGCCACAGGAGAACGGAAGGAGCAAGAAGGAAAAGAAGACTCAATAACGGAAGCCACCAGTGCCACTAGGAAGTTACCCCTCAGACTGGGAGACTGGGTTCACACCCTTCCTACCCATGAGAAGCAAAGAGCTTTATAACACAGAGGCTGGGCCAACCCCTAACCAATCACTGAGGAGGAGGCTGGGGGATCATCAGAGACTGGTGGCCAGGAAGAACCACGGGGGGGGGGGGGGGGGGGAGGCTAAGTGACTAGGCCTCCTCCCCACGTCACCCGCCAAGCCAGACTTCACTCCCATCACCCATCATGCATGTCCAGCCCATGAAGCCTCTGTCCCTTACTCGTGAGGGGAGAGTCCTAGGGAGACGGGAGTACTGCAAGCCCCCGGAGCCAGGAGCACTGGCCTCCCAACGGTTGGAAGCCACACAAGGCTCCAGCGTTGCCTCAACTCCCAGAAGACTTGGAGTTTGCGCCCCATGCCAGAGTCAACATGGTCTCAAACCCCAAGAGTCAGAGATGGGCTGGGGTGAGCTCAGCAGCAGGACTCTTGCCTAGCATAAGGTTCCATCCCCAGCACCAAAAGTAAGAAAAGACTCAAAGCTGGACTGGCCTGTACAGGATCTGGGGTCCCCGGCCCCCACCTCTGCCTTTAGAGCAAAGCTCCCAGGACTGTATGAGTGGAAGGCAACTGGGTAAGCTGCCCCCCACATCTCCAAGGAGCTTTAGGGGCCCCAGGGACAGAGGCAGGGCAGGAAGGTGGACAGTGAGGGGCCCTGGTGACATACAAACCCAGGACATGGGCTCTGGTCCTGGTTCTGCTGTTAACGCAGTCCCCAAGTTTACAGTCCTGCGCTCCCAGGCTGTGAGGGCGACAAAGGAGCTGTAGGTAGAGGAAGGACAGCAGAGGGAGGTGAGGGGGCAGGGGTGGGAGAGCAGAAGGAAGGTAACCGGCCAGACATGCCCCCTAAGAGAAGGTCAAGAACAAGGTGGGTCCCAGGGTCCCAGCCTGAGAAAAACAAAAGGGCAGGGGGAGGAACAGCCAAGCCAAGGCTTCATCCAGCCCCTGTTGTGGGGCTGGCGTCACCTTGAGGCCAGGAGTGGCCTTAGCCACCTGCTGAAGGGTGCCTGGCAGGTGGGGGCAGAGCCCCTATTGGTCTAAGGACTAATGGAGCAGGTGCACTGAGCCCTCAGTTTCACTTAGAAAATTAGGCAATGCCCAAAGGAAAAAAGAGAAAATAAAAATATTTTCCTCTGTCCTTCCCCACTCTCCAGTCATAGCCCTGGAGCTTATTCAGAAATATTTTGTTTTCTTTCTTTTTCTTTTT